TCTCTCTCTCTCTCTCTCTCTCTCCCTCTCTCTCGTTCTCGCTCTCTCTTTCTCTCCCAGTACCTGTTTACCCATTATACGAGTCGAAGTGAATGAATGCAATGTTACATCTTGTAATGTGATAGGATCCTAGGATGTTCTGTGGTGCAATATGTTGCGATATTTTGTTTTTGTTTGTTTTGGGGTTTTTTGTTTTGTTTTGGGGTTTTTTTTGTTGTTGGGTTTTTTTTGGGAGGTGGTAAGTGTTTTACGGCGCTCGCAACTGCATAAAGTCATATGAACGCACGGGACACATTAAAACAATTTCAGTTGATAGGAACTTTTGAATTTTGCCCTGGGAGCGGTCGAAGCCTGTTTACCCATTATATCTTATCGATTTTAGACCGCCAATGGATCTGTTAACGTGCGCAACTTGCACACAGGACCTCCGAGATTTTCGCCTTTGTCCGAGAGGACTATGTATAGATTTTTCCTACCCAAAGATTAGGAGTGTGGCTAAAAGACAGCAGTAAGAAGAAGCCAAGGAATAGCCGTAAAAAGGCTGCAGAAAGAGTCTGGAGCCCAGAGGAGAGGCAAAGTGAGGGGGTGGGAGCAGAAAGTGGAGACGAAAGCAGACGACAGAACATTGCTGGAGAGCAGGAAAGGAGGTGAAAGGAGACAATTTTAGAGAAGAAAATTGTCGGTCACTCTCAGGTTTCGAACCCAGGACCCATTGAATGAGAGGCGAACACCGTAACCCCTAGACCACCAGAGCCCTCTGTTGCGATGCGATGTAATGTAATGTGGTGTGGTGTGGTGTGGTGTGTTGTGTTGCGTTGTGAAGTAATGTTAAGTGACGTGACGTGAAGTGATGATGTGACGTGGAGGGACGTGACGTGGAGTAGAGTGATGTGATCTGACGTGATGACATTTGACGTGGCGTGAGGTCAATGTGACATGATGTGACGTGGTGTGAATTGACGTGACGTGATATGAATTGGCGCACGTGATGTGACGTGACAGGATGTAGTGTGAAGCGATGCGTTGAGACATAAGGTGATGGAGACCAAGTGATGTAGTGAGAGGTGGTGTGACGCGAGGTGTTCAGATATCCGGAGAAGGGAAGGCGGTAGAGAGAATAGTCTAGAAAAAGAGAATCGACGCCAAAAAACCTCCACAATATGGGGGGGGGGGGGGTTATTACATGGACCAAGCCAAGGAGTGGTTCCTTTTGACATCATGTACATCGTTTTGTTTGAAATATATAAATCTCAGACCAAATCCCAGTGACCTCCTCCAAGCCTTTTCCCTCCAGAAGAAAGTCATTTCAAGCACATTGTATACGAACAAGTGAGTTTTATCACATTGGGTGTAGGTGGTTGTTGGCTGTTCTAGTGTGGCTCACTTCTCCTTTGCTCTTAAACATCTATGGGTCTTATCTTTCGTCCTTCTTTTTTTGTAGGCTTATATTACTGTTAGGTAACATCTTTAATCATCGCGCTTGTATAACCTAGCTGTGTTGCAAATTCCATAAAACTCTTATTTAAACTGAAAGCTCATAATGATCTAGTCCCCTGGACTTGAACACAAATGTTGATATTGATTTTTATTTGCCCTGTTGCTCACTGTTTCAGAATGTCACGCGTACTTCGCACCACCGTGCATAAAGGTATAGAATTACTTGTTTTTAGTATATTGTCATACTATGTATTCGACCCATCTTCCTGAGCTCATAGCACGAGCTGGAAGCAACCTTTTTTTTTTTAAAGTGCAATTCTAGAGACTATTTTTTCACGATATTGGCAGATTTACAAGCATGCACAAATAAACACATTTTCAGGAGGAAACATGAGTGCTGACAAGACATTTAAAAGTAGTTACTTTAGTCTTAGCAGTATGACATACATTAACGCTAGAATATTCACCAAGTGTGCTGTTTCTAAAAACTTACCTTTGATCATTGAGATCTAGCAGATTGCTCATATCTCCATTGGTATACTGCCAGTCTATTTCCTCTGACGCGATAAAATGTTTTCGAGTGATGGCACCCTCTGCTACGTTTGTGAGTAGGAAGATAAACACAGCGACCGACAGCGCAGTCCTGGGCAGGTTAAGTCCGCGCATCGCGCTTGATATATTCTGAAAGAGAATAGAAGATATGATACGAAAGTGACAATGCAAAAATGTGTTAATGACGTAGAGAGAGAGAGAGAGAGAGAGAGAGAGAGAGAAAGAGAGAGAGA